TTGGAATACCTGAATGAATCAGCTTCTGAGTGAAACTTTTGAAAAAAAGCGACAGATCCGAGGCGAAAGGAGCAATAACCAAATATACAAAGGGCTATACCTCACATACGTGAAAATCTCCCACGAAATGAATGAGTCAAAAATGTAGTCTTCAACGTCCTGTTAGAATCTTGAGTATTTGGCAACGTCCAACATGAAGGAATGACTGGCAGAGCAAAATACAGCGGAAATCGTGAAAGAAACGGCTAACGAGGCTCTGGTGAAGCTGCTTCTAGTCAATGACCCATTCAGCGGATATATTTTTGATCATAAAAACTATACATAATTTGATATTTTAACCGGACTTCATTGATAACGTATCCGGAAACCTCACTGGTCATGAGTAAAAAACGATGTTAAGGGCCGCCGTGCATTGACATTATTAGCGAAAGGTAAGGCAAGCAAGCTGTGGGCAAGGGTAAGACTGTTGGAAACTACACAAAGAAAGAAGCTGCGGATACACAGGGCTTCCATTCTGAACGTGGCTTGCGGGTGACACACAACTAAGCTGAAAACATAAATCAGGAAGCAACAAAAATGAAGATTTTGAGAGGAATATTAGGAATGAAGGGGAACGATCTAGTGTCAAATGCTGTTGCAAGGAAAAAAAGATTACAGTATCTCACCTGACTAATCGACTGGCTGCAAACCAGTCGTTTACGATTGTGGAGCCATTGCCAACGAATCAGCAAATGGACGACACTCCCCTTTCGAAGCAAATACTGAAAGCAAAGTTTGATCGTAGGGGGAAGGGGGGGGGCAGAAGATCTCCAATAAGATGGAAAGATCTCGTTGGAACTGAAATGACATCGGAAAGACTGAAGAGAGCGCACGTATTTACTCCATCTACGTGCCAATGCATCGGATTCGGCATCTGGTTTTGTCTTCGACAACACAGTGGGATAGGAAGAAGAAGTTTAGCGGTGCGGAAATGAATGAATGTAACTAAGAAAGCTAATCATGCGATTCGACACGTTGCCTTTGTTTGCATTGAAAACAACTTGAAATACTTCCTTACCGCCGTATGAGTTTCCCACGTTGGTCGTTCCGTACATGGTGGAGCAAGAAACGGGCGCATAATCAAATCCGAGGTCGTCGGAACGACAGAGACTCGGCTGCTGTACGTTCGAATCGACGACTTTGCCGTTAGAGATTGTAGAGGGAGCTGAAAGAAAACGACGTCAGTTCGTAAAGTTCAGAAAAAATTAATTACGAAAAACTAATTAGCGATAGTTGCGATCAGTTGTTTAAACACAGACATCGATATTGATCTGCTAAGACTATTTCGTTACGTTTAAATGCAGAGTACAAATGATTTCTGGAACTCATTTTGATTCTGCGTC